TTAAGGCACTTGTTTTTAACAAAGTGACCAAATAAAACAAACCATGTTTAGAATAGCAATGATCTGTACATAAACATCGAAATCTAATATATTAGAAATAGTAAATAATAATAAGATAAATAACTATCTTGATAGTGTAAAGTACAATGAGTAGCACTCCATTTTACATTTTAGTTTGCATCACCTTCACGATGAGTTTCATATGTAAAGTAATCAAATATTAGCTGTGACAGTCATTCGGAGTATCTCATCTGTGTTTTTATAATTCATTTAACATCATACTAGGGATAGTAACGATACCAAGAGAAACTCACGGTACCGGTAATACGCCGCGATAAACAAGTTCACACGGTACCGATATTTATCGCGATATACTATTGCAAGGGACAAAAAAAATTTCAAAAAAAAAACAATACCAATTTTTTTTTTTTACTTCCAAAATGTTTTCTCTTTATTAATATAATAATCCTGATTTGTACAGCAATTTTTAGTATAGTAGTACTACGATTTAAAGTGTCAAAAAAGGTAACAGACTGGAACAAGAACAGTAGCTACTACCAACAAAAGTATGCCATTCTAAGATTCATATTTTGTGCAATTAAACAAGAACATTCAATAATCAGACCCTGAGCAATAAAATACTGATTTCAAGTAACACTCAACTCAAACTCTCTCTCACTCATTGCGAGACCAGAGTTTTTTTTCCAGGAAGATGAGCATGTCAACATTTCCAGGTAGAAGCTGGGATCTTTGGGCGTTTACAATATCTCCCCTGCTGTGGAAAAAATCTCTCACATCCGGCACTGATTGTGGCTGGGAACAGAGAGATATGCTTTGGCCAAGGGGACAGCAGTGGGTAACACTTTGCATTGTCTCTCCACCACCTTGAGAGGACAGTCAGAGAGTAAAATAAGAGGTCGCTTTGCGGTACAAGTCAATTTCAGCCTCGATACCAGTGTTGTGCTGTGCGACGTGCACTTCTTTATACTGAAAGACTCCCCAAGGAGATCTTCGAGTGCTGTCTTTTTGGAAAGGAGGAGATTGTTCCTCAGCGTCATGTGCTCTTTCCCCTTCTGTTTCACTAGGGGTTCTATGCAAGCAAGCAGAGGTAGAAAAAAAACAGCTGTCTTATCTTTCTGTGCTTGAGGTCACAATGAGAGAGACTGGTAGGCGCAGACTCATCGCATCAGCGACACAGATGCGAGTGCTATTTCATCGGACGGATGAGAGAAGCCGAACTCATGTGTCGGCGTCCGTGATTCAGCTGTTCCAGAGTGCTTGTCGAAAAGCGTTGCGCCTGACTTCAGCACTGAGTAGCGTTGCAGCCGAGATAGCTTGTTGTTGCTCCAGGTAGCGCTCGAGCATGTCAAGCGAGCTGTTCCATCTTGTGACCACATCCATGATGAGTTTATGCGCAGGCAGGTTTAACATTCCCTGTTTGGTGGCAGCACAGCTGTGGCAGTTGAACTGCGGTGAAAAAACGCAGCTACACGCCTCACTCTACCAAGCAGACGGCTTGCCCGTTTACGTTTCAAACCCGCTTTTTGAAGCGAGGTTTAAGTGTGGGGCAAAACACTTTATGTGTGGGGAAAGACCGGCCTCTCTCACCGCTACATCCATATTCCTTGCGTTGTCTGTTACGACAGCAATGCCTTGATTATTGTCGAGTCCCACTCAAAACAGCAGATTTTAACACCTCAGCAATGTTTAGTCCAGTGTGTGATGTGAAAAGAGGCCGCGTCTGCAAAACAAAACTTTTAATTTCCCATTCGCCTGGTCATAACATGAGCCGTGACTGTAATATAGCTCTGCGTAGCTCGTGAAGTCCACCATTCTGTTGTTATTGAGATGCACTCTGCTTCTTTGAGGCTCTGTGTCACTTTAGCTTTTGTCTCTTGGTACAGAGCGGGTAGCACTGTTCGACTAAAGTATGGCCGTGATGGAATGGGCATACTTGGGCTCCAGCGTGTTTACTAACCTCCGAAATCCACTGTTGTCGACCACAGAAAACGGCCTTAAGTCTTTGGCCATGTACTCGCCGATGCACTTGTTATTTCCTGAGCTCTTGGACTGTTAGGGGGAAGTGGCGCTCCAAATACTTCTGTCAGAGTCAGTTGGCCTGGCTTAGGCATTTTCCTCACAGTAGGTTGTTGTGTTCGGAGCTTTTCTGGGTGGTGATGTGACAAATTACTTCTCATGTTCGATGTGTTTCCCGAATTGTAGGCGACCGTCGCCCGGCAGGATTTGCAAATAGTTTGACGTTTGTCAGTTTGCTTTTCACCTTTGTCATTTCTTGAAACGGGAAAACCAAAATGCTGCCACACAACAGCTTTAAAAGTCGATGGAGCATCCTCAATTTCACAATTTCTATTTAGTTGGTCAGCACGTTCGTCTTCTCCGTTCGCCATTTTCTCGTTGGGTCTGAGTGTGAGGGCGGGCTTGCACGCAAAGGATGATGGGAGTATTCTTGACTAGTATTATGGCGTCCTCTGCTGTTCAAACAAAAACATTACAGTTTTTATTTACAGGGCGAGATATAAATGAATGAACGGTAATATCGCGGTAGATTTTTTCAGTCTCACGACGGTATTGAGCCGTTTCATTACCGCGGTATTCGGTATATCGTTACATCCCTATCATTTACACTAACTCATCTGGTTCATCAACATCTGAATACGGGGGTGGGTTGTCCTGTTCTAGTAGCATTTGAAACTGTCTCCTCATGAGAAATGTACCCTCCCTCCTTTCATACCATTTAAGGTATGAAGGTAATATCCAATCCAATCCAACTTTATTTATATAGCACTTTAAAACCTTCAGACCAAAGTGCTGTACAGAGAGATAAGCTCACACAACATAATATAAATACATTTAAAATACAAGATACAAACACAAAATAAACCAGAATAAACGTAATCATTAAAAAATAAATAACAGTCATATAATAAAAACAATAGACCACTGAAAGCAAATAAAAGCAACAATCTACTTGTTTCCGAATGCTAAGGAGAAGAGGTGGGTTTTAAGACGGGATTTAAAAGCAGACAGTGTGGGAGCCTGTCTGATTAGCAAGGGCAGGTTGTTCCACAGTTTAAGGGCGGCAGCAGAGAAAGCACGGTCCCCTCTACGCTTAGACTTTGTTTTTGGCACCCTCAGGAGCAACTGATCAGCTGACCTGAGAGTGCGAGTGGGCATGTAGCTGTGTAACAGTTCAGCCATTGAGGGCTTTAAAAGTAAATAAAAGAGTTTTAAACTGAATCCTCGAAAGAACGGGCAGCCAGTGGAGTGAAGATATAAATCAAGTTAATTGTGTAAAAAGTGCCATACAGAGAAGCAACTCAGTGCAATGAGTAAGAGGAATGTGGTTGTCCTGGAAAGACCACATGTATGAATATGACTCAGTTTTAGTGGCTGTGCTCAGACTTTGTATCCAGATATATCAGGATTGTGTTAACAGCAAATCCAATTGTGACTGGTTGATGTCAACACCAATTGCATTATCCAGAGGAAACTACAAGCACTTAACAGATTTATGTTCTGCCATACACTTGCATATAAGGACTGTGTTTTCTCAATGTTATCTTGAGTTGAGTATTGACAGGAAAACCCAGTTGGAATTGTATGGCATGTATTTTCCTTGTATGTTGAATTACATGCTGAAAGTTGACAGAAGTTATAATAAAAAGGTTTATCTGGTGTACAGTATGTATGGGTTGGTGGTTTTTATTGTCAAAATTCAGTGTACAGACTCTCCCTTTTTATGATGTATGCTTCCTTGTTCTTGCAGGAAGTTGTGAATGGATGTGCACAATATCCACATTCTTTACACCAGGACAGCTACATTTATTTGTTTAAAATAAATTGGCTGGTTATCTTTTAGATTAATTGTTGGTTGCTCATAAAATGTCAGAACAAAGTTACCAAATTGATGTCTTTAAATTACATGTTTTCAAAAATATTGGTCATTATTTTCTGTCATCAAATAGTTGACCAATTGTTTAAATTCTTATACAAACAAACTAGCGTTCATACTGCAGACAATATACTACACATACACAATTTACACCATCGACTATGGATTGAGTGATCAGAATTGTGTGGAAGGGTTTTTGCTCAGTCACACATTAGTCTTCCTTAAAAAGCCAACATACATACAGTGGGGCAAAAAAGTATTTAGTCAGCCACCAATTGTGTAAGTTCTCTCACTTAAAAAGATGAGGCCTGTAATTTTCATCCTCGGTATACCTCAAATATGAGAGACAAAATGAGAAAAAAAAAATCCAGAAAATCACATTTTTAAAGAATTTATTTGCAAATTATGGTGGAAAATAAGTATTTGGTCACCTACAAACAAACAAGATTTCTGGCTCTCACTGACCTATAACTTCTTCTTTAAGAGCCTCCTCTGTCCTCCACTTGTTAACTGTATTAATGGCACCTGTTTGAACTCGTTATCAGTATAAAAGACACCTGTCCACAACCTCAAACAGTAACACTCCAAACTCCACTAAGACCAAGACCAAAGAGCTGTCAAAGGACACCAGAAACAAAATTGTAGAACTGTACCAGGCTGGGAAGACTGAATCTGCAATAGGTAAGCAGCTTGGTGTGAAGAAATCAACTGTGGGAGCAATTATTAGAAAATGGAAGACATACAAGACCACTGATAATCTCCCTCGATCTGGGGCTCCACGCAAGATCTCACCCCGTGGGGTCAAAATGATCACAAGAACGGTGAGCAAAAATCCCAGAACCACACGGGGGGACCTAGTCAATGACCTGCAGAGAGCTGGGACCAAAGTTAACAAAGGCTACCATCAGTAACACACTACGCCGCCAGGGACTCAAATCCTGCAGTGCCAGACGTGTCCCCCTGCTTAAGCCAGTATGTCCAGGCCCGTCTGAAGTTTGCTAGAGAGCATTTAGATGATCCAGAAGAGGATTGGGAGAATGTCATATGGTCAGATGAAACCAAAATAGAACTTTTTGGTAAAAACTCAACTAGATGTGTTTGGAGAAGAAAGAATGCTGAGTTGCATCCAAAGAACACCATACCTACTGTGAAACATGGGGGTGGAAACATCATGCTTTGGGGATGTTTTTCTGCAAAGGGACCAGGACGACTGATCCGTGTTAAGCAAAGAATAAATGGGGCCATGTATCGTGAGATTTTGAGTGACAACCTCCTTCCATCAGCAAGGGTATTGAAGATGAAACGTGGCTGGGTCTTTCAGCATGACAATGATCCCAAACACACCGCCTGGGCAACGAAGGAGTGGCTTCGTAAGAAGCATTTCAAGGTCCTGGAGGGGCCTAGCCAGTCCCCAGATCTCCACCCCATAGAAAATCTTTGGAGGGAGTTGAAAGTCCTTGTTGCCCAGCGACAGCCCCAAAACATCACTGCTCTAAAAGGAGATCTGCAAGGAGGAATAGGCCAAAATACCAGCAACAGTGTGTGAAAACCTTGTGAAGACTTACAGAAAACGTTTGACCTCTGTCATTGCCAACAAAGCGTATATAGCAAAGTATTGAGATTAACTTTTGTTATTGACCAAATACTTATTTTCCACCATAATTTGCAAATAAATTCTTTAAAAATCAGACAATTTGATTTTCTGTGGGGTTTTTTTTCTCATTTTGTCTCTCATAGTTGAGGTATACCTAGGATGAAAATGACAGGCCTCTCATCTTTTTAAGTGGGAGAACTTGCACAATTGGTGGCTGACTAAATACTTTTTTGCCCCACTGTAATAGTAAAAGTCGTAGTCAGTGTCTTACAGTTTACATCAAAGACAGCTCTATCTCGGATGGATACAAGTTTGAATTAGTTTCCAAACAGCATATGCATTTGATTATTGGATCCCCCAGATAAGCAGTAGAGAACTAACCTTCACCAGACACTGGGCACTGTGCATTGGACTGAGTAGTTCTGGGATGTCCGGCCCAGTGTACCCATGTGATTCCGGCTCAGAGGCTGAGTCCTGGTGGAACCGGACGGCCTGGGCTGGAAGTCGACACTCATACAGCTGCTTGTACTTACTGGACACCATCATCACCTCCTCTGCCTTGGTCTGAATGAGAAACACTGTCAGCTGCAGCTTCTTCAAGTGTGGCAATGGCATACATTTGCACCTTATCCTCTTAACTACCTTGTTTTGAGACTGTCTTCGTGGTTAGTCTTTCATAATGTAAAGAAGTTGCAACTTGCCGAGTGTGTGGGATGTTGTGTTGTGACAGCTGTCAACAATGGTTGCTGCGTAGCTCTCATAGAAATACCTTCAGAATATACGTGTTCTCCTACATTTAATGTGTACAACTTAAATACAATTTCTCAACTAGCTAAGACACAGGTTATTCAATCCTCGCACAAGTAACATTAAAGGAAGATATTGTACGAGAGCTAACCTACTTTATGGCTAGCAAGCTAACGGTTGGTTACCTTCCCCAAGTACCCTCACTCACCTGCCCCAACATGACGGGATCGGGAAGAATTTGAATCCCATATTTCATCTCATTCAGCTCTTCTAGATTCAAGAAGGCTGAGACACAGAGTGGACAAATCAACAAGAAAACATTCAATCTGTTTAGCCACCGTACCAAGGAAACAGCCATGATAGACTCTCTCATCATGCCCCCATTAGTCTGACAGAAACAAAACACAGAACGCCTGACTTGGTAGCTGCTGATTGGTCGAGATGAGACGTGCTGCTCTGCCATTGGATAGTTTGCATGTCAGTCAATAGTTGAGTGTCCATGGGTGAGCTTAGTTTACAACACCGGTACAGAGTGAATGGGCGGCGCCTCCACATTTGTGACACAAAAATCACTGCCAACGTTTGTCTTTTCACAATAAACTCAAACATTGGTACAGTCTAGCCACCATTGGGCATCCGTTGTGGTAATGACGCATCACGAGCCAATTTGGCTAAATTACATGTATGCGGATTATTTTTTTATAGTAACAACACTCTACTGTATTCTAATATTTAAAAACGAAAATGTTATATTAGGTAACTTTGGATAATACATATATAGTAATAATAACTAAAAACTCCGTCACCACATTTTATTACCTTGATATTTGAACTCAAGCTTTGCTACTTTTTTGCCCTTTCATGCATGAATTATGAAAGCCTCAGTCAGGATTTTTTTACCAAGTGTTATTATTGCTCTTGGGGCATGAAAAACAAGATTTGAACTTTTTTTTTTTTAATCTAGTTTTTTCAAAGAGATTTTTATATGTCCACTCAGGTGGACAATATGCGTTCAGGGTTCGAACTGAAGAGATGTACATTTTGTAAAAATTATAAATAAAGATGTGCAAACTTAAAATTACATTAATAGCATAAGTATATTGATTTACGGCCCAAAAAGATATTGCAGATGAAGTATTTTCAAGAATAACCAGGGCAAATTTGAGGCCCCACGCACAGTTATTTGATGAATGCTAGTGGAGCCTCGCAGCGGCGAAACCGTGCCGCGCCACCCTAATTGCGCCACATAACCTCAGATGAGGCCCCCCTCCGCAAGGTGTGGCCCCCTCCACAAGGTGAGGCCCCACACAGTCTGCATGATCTGCCTGTAGGGAGGGACGGCCCTGGGTACAGCAGCAGCAATACCAGTATTAATTGTAGTTGAAATATAGCCAGTGATCCATGACGTCCACTGTAGTGGAAAGGTGGTTAATCATGATTTCCTGCAAACATAAAATCAATACTTTGATAATTTATGAATTATATGATTCCTTAGTTGTTACTTGATGTCACCACATTTTTTATACCTGCAGGGGACGCTTTCCATAAAAGGATTGGCAAGATATAGATGGGTGATTTGGTCCATGTGGCTTTCTGTCGTCCATCTTGGTTTAGAGACATGTATCATGCACTTACACTGACTTGGCACTGAGTGGCAGTGTATGGGATGATGCAATAGGGTCCTATGTAGTGGCTCATGGTGCAACTATGCAAAAAAAAACAATGCGAAAACACCTTTTGAATAGCTGTCCACTGTAGTGACCTCTATGCATGAAAGGGATAATATAGCCAATATGGAGCCAGGCTGTCCAAAACATGCACTCACACATTCCCACACATACCAGAAATACAAAGACAAACATTACATTACATTTAATTTAGCTGACGCTTTTATCCTAAGCGACTTACAATAAGTGCATTCGACCAAGAAGATACAAACTTGAAGAAAACAGAATCATATAAGTACATCAGGTTTCATAGAGCCGAACCATTTTAAGTGCTACTCAACTGGCTTTAGATAAATCAGTCCTTTAGTAGTGCTTTGTTAGTGTGTAAGTGCTTGGTTACTACTAGTATCTAAGTGCTTTTTATTTTGTTTGTTTTTTCATTTTATTGCTCGAAGTGGAGTCGAAAGAGATGAGTTTTCAGTCAAACACACTAAACACATGCCTTTATTCACGACACACACACCCACATGTATACACTATTGTTGAATTGGTGAGCTGGTATGCTTTTGGAAAATATTTCCAAAATAACATGCATGACTTTGCTGAGACTGTGCATGATTGTGTACACAATGTGTGGAGTGTGGTCGTTGCGGTCACATGTCGGAGCTCCATGATGAAGCTGCTGATCGCGGATTGACCGCTGAGTGTTGAGGTGCGCCGCTCCGCCGTGCTGCTGCTGCTGCTGCTGCAGGGGAGCGTCGGTCCACAGCCTGTAGTGCTGCGATGTGCGGCCGCATTATTTATCTCCTGGCTGCACCATTTTACCACATCTAATCACATTTTCCAGACCACAGAGATACACGTTCACAGGGACGACCTCCGTGCAGACTGGAGGAGAAACTAACAGGTTGCGTCGTTGAACTGAGGTGAGCTCCATGTTCTCAGGATTTGACCGGAATAACGGTAATTGGCCTATATGTCTGTTTTCGGGACATTATTTTTGTCGGAATTTTCGTCTCGGTGACTGTTTCTATACAAGGCAAAAACATGAGAAGGAAAGAAAACCGTGAACACTTGCATGAAAGCAATGTGATCTGCGTTTTGGAGGAGATATGATTTAGCACACAAAGGAATGTAATCGAAAGACACATCAAGGAACCTTAAGTGCACGGTTTTCCCCCTGCAGTCGTATTCACGGTAAGGCAGGATAATAGGCCTGTCTGAAAGATCGTATGATATCTGCAGCAATTTATTAATGCTGGACAGGTCATCGCATTACTTTGACATTTCTTCTTATATGTAAGAATGCAGGTCAGTAAGGGGATGTTGATCATGCAGAATAAAATGCGGTGATTTAATATTCAGAATCTGAATGAGGCAACACATCTGTCACGCGCGTTTTGGGAGGGACCCCCAGAGCTCTGAGCTCGAGCATGTCTAGAGCTGTCCTCAGAGGCTCGTTTTTAGGTTAATTAAAAGCAGCACTGCAACTAATGTACGTTTATTCTGATCGGCCTCTGGACATTTCCTCGTGACTTATGTTATGGCTCACCTCCCTTAATCGTCCGGTTACCGAATGTTAAGGGTGTTTTCTTAACAGCCAGTCATCAGCTGTGCTGTGCTAGGTAATGCCAGTAAGAGCTACATGTTCGTGGTTACATTTAGCTTCACAGAAAATAAATCAAGGTTAACGTTGAAAAAAAAAACGATTGCTGATGATGCTCCTTTAATAATTCCCTCAAATGCTTCCTTTTATTCTGTGGTTCAGTTTCTTTATGAATTGTGTGGTCTGATTGTGATCATGTATATCTTCTTACACCAATCAGCATTTGAATGGTTTGTTTTTAAGCACTCACTCACTTATTACATTTACACAAGCATATTTGTGGGTTTGTATGGTTTCAATTAATCATTTTTATTTCATGTTCATGTACAGTTCTCTGTTTAATGTGTTGGCTAAGATAAGACTATCACTATACTGTAGCATGCAATGTATCTCGGCAAGAGAAGGAATCCTGAGTCTAATAGTCTGATTAGATAGTGAATAATAGTACTCTATAATCCTATGCTATTGAATGAACATTTCTACTTTAAGACATCCTTTATAGAAATACATGAAAAGATCCACATGCAAATTGCTGCCTGAAGTAGCACATGTCTAAATGTCACCCTTTTCTGAGTCGACCTGGTGAGAGAAGTGGCAGTACTTAGTTTAATATAAGAAACATAGGTTATCCAAGGCCAACATGGTGTATCCTCCATCAACAATACAACTGGAAGAAACGTTTTTAAAAAGGACTTGAAGATTAAACATTTCCTCTGAGGGATAAGAGAACAGGGCCACAGCAGCAGGCTGTTTGGCTTCTTCTTGTGATCATATCGTATTGATTTTACCTACAACAAACCTAAAACAGTCGACCCCCAAACCCTGCTGAATTTCCCCTGAGGGCTGTAGGACCACTCAACTAGCTAATGAAGCACCATATGGCTGCTAGCCTGGGTTTCTAAGTGACGATGAAATTGCCTCATGCAGTTTTCATACAATGCTTACTTGTCAGTCCCATTATTGTCAATCGGATAACTCAGGAGGGAACTTCTTGAGATGTGCCACAAACATCTACTTGGACATCCTTTCCTTCCACTATCTGTGATATCTATTTCTGAGTCTTTGCTTAGTCCTCCCAAAGATGATGTGATTGATTTAAAGAAATAAAATGTGTGTGCCAGAGTGATTATGGGTGCAGGACTGTGGAGATTGGTCTGGCCATACAAGACTAAGAATTAACTGATACAAACTTGGTGTTAAAAGGTCACTGTGACCTCACATCTGTCCCCTTTCTGTGACAGGATATTTCAGGAGCACCATGAGGGAATTTCTTCAAATTGGCACAAGACTCAGTTATGAACTGATCAAGGTCACTGGGAGGTTTTTGGCCATAAGTCAAGAGCGAATGGACTACTGATGATTCGCTATACTGTATATTCTAATAATGTTTCTTTACCATTTTTGTTTTCAGATGGGGAAGGTGCTAACTAATTTCTGTGACTATTTACATAGTTTTTGGAGATGCAGGTTCCTACGGAGCATGCCCTTTCACTGACTGGATAGAGGCTGATGGGTAAATATTCATACTTATTAAAACACACATGCTGGGCTGAAGGGAAGAGAAGTTAAGTAATATACTAATTCTGTATATTATATTTTTGGTCCACAAATGGTGCTGTATACAAATTAAAATGTTTAAACACTTGTTTCATCGGTTTACAGTAAGTTGTACCTTCAAACAATTAACAAGAAACTGTCTCTGGAGTTTGCAAAGAGCGATTTAGGTCACACATAGAGAAAGCATTATACAGGATCTTTCTGAGCTGAGATTGTCATTATGTTAATGTCCCACCCACACACACACACACACACACACACACACACACACACACACTTTTGTTCATCACATCTGGATCATATTAAAAGAGCACATTGTGTTCTGGTAAGTAAGCAGACACGGCCAGGGATAGAGGACCTTGTGAATGTAAATGTGTTTTGTTTTAACTATCTATCACTATAAAATGCTAATTCTAGTGTACTGTAACAACGTATACTGAGCTAGCTGGTTAATCTTCATTTAGAAGCTTAATCATCAATCTGAATGTTGGTTCTCGTTCTGACCCCACTTTAGATGCCGGAAGGTTTTATGACACCACAGAGCCACACTGATAGATACCAGCTAG